CTGTCCAAAATAAACACTGGACAACAAGTTAGGGTCGAGGGCAAACCTCCACTACGGCACTCAGCGGGTCCGGCAATTTCTTGACTTGCTTGAGCCCAGGATGCCAGGACGTCCAGGAGCATTCCCGCCAGCGTCTGAGCGAACTTTTGCAACGTGAACTGGTCCCAGTGTAATTTCCATGCGACATACACTGTCATGATAGCAAGTATATGTCTAGACATGGATCTCCTTAAGCAAAATGCCAAGCGCCACCAAAATCATGGCAGACTTGCGGCAGAGCTAGCCGGAGAAGAAAAGAACTTTCTCTCGTCTTCCTTTTTGTAAATATATTTGGGCAGTAGTAATGCTATTCAGTGGCCGAGAGGATACACCATGGCAGTGATGGCAGGGGCTGATGGCGTGATCTCGAAAAACGTGCAGGCGCCATCCTGACAAGCTGGACAAATACCTAATGGTTGATGGCAGAAGTGCGGCGTAGCTGAGCTTGAGCATGCACAAATAAATCACGATGTCCTCTCCAACTTTCACCACACGATATTTCATGCAGCAAGATGTCAGCAGAATCCACCTGCAGAATGCCAGGGACAGCGGCCGTGAGAAGCAAACTACCATCTGCCAGGTTTCGACCACGGCCTCCTGATTTACTGATGTGGTGTGGCCTTTTACTAGCTGTGATGGTTTGGGGTGTGTCGCGCACAAATTACTATCTCGTCACCCTTGATCAGCGAACGTCCCCGGCGGCCGGACCGCTTGCCAAGAATGCATGACACAAAATGCATGGCAGCCAGGTGCTCCGATCATGCGGAAAGGCTGTTTTTTTGTAATGTCCCTCCGACGAAGCGATGCACTGCAGCCTGGGTGTGCCAACCCAGTTTACAAATGGGCCGAAGCCAAGCTGAGTCTGCCAGCGGAAAAAGCCGCCTCTGTGCAAACGCGAGCTCTACCAACGGGCAAGAGACAGGAAGCCATGTTGCCCTTATCGAATCTGGCGAACAGCTCGCCATGCACCCTGGGCCTCTGCGAAATTGAACTCCTCAACCACTGCGGAAACACCGGGGGCATAGGTATATTCCCACACCCGGCGATCAACGAGCGTCTGTTCAAAGCTGGAGTGAAAGGGACTTTGGTCTTCTGTAGAACTGTCAGACATCCTGCAGCCTTCCCTCGCACAGAATGACGTACATCTGGGGTTCTCGAACTTCTTCTTGGATCCTGCACCATAATCTCATCGGAGCATAATATAACTGCTCTTGTGCACGTGTGCGCATCTTGTCTACGCAGTCTTTAGGTACATGCTCTGAACCCACAGAACGTCTCGTGCCCCACCGCTGTCAAAACTGCTGAGATAGCATTGGAAAAAGGAGAAACTTTGAGTAAGTTTCTCGATAGCGGTCCCGACTGTATATCCGTAACGCTGACATTTCCTGGCTGATCCTCATAACGGAGAAACTGCAACTATGTACATGCAGATCTTTGTGGGGCGACGGAGAGCACGCGACCAACCATTCCGTCTACTGCCGTACCTCGCACCTTCAAACAGATGCAGTTGGAGTTACTCGGCGCTGGCAGCTAGGCTAGGATGTCTAGGTTCTTGATTGCATTTTGTGCGTATGACAAGGGCAACTGTGGCTTCACGTTCATGACACTCACAGCCTCATGTCGCTTGACGTAGGTTTTACGTATACTTGCCCCTCGGCAGGACCCGTGGCCAAGGTTGGACCTCCAAGTTTTAGCTCTGGAACTGCCATAATCCTGCTACCGACGTTCATCTGCTCCTTCTGTCGCAGTCACTTCAGATGAAGACTGGGCGGCTCGAATTCCGGTTCAAACTTGGAAGCACGGTCGGGGAACCTTTGTAAAGGACGAGCGCTATAGGAAGCAAGTAGGTCTAGCACTGTCTAGCGCTATGGCACTATGCACATGAAGTAGCACAGCCTCCAGGTGTCCACGAAGTGTTATTACGAAGTGTCCGGTGGCCAGATCCTTTCCTGGTAACCTCAGTGACCTCAGTGACCTCATGAACACCAACAACGCCTTCAGTCTCCGATTCTACATTCTCGGTCCTTGCTGGTTTGGCTGCATGACTACCTGTTTTTGTGGAAGTTCTCTGACTGCGCTTCCGCGCTTGCACTCACATAAGCAGTGGCTCAGAAGCTAAAAACAGGCTCCAAAACAACTTTCCACGCCGGCTTCAGAAAGAGCCTGCGCATGCGGAAAACACTCTTGAAGAAAAAATCATCCAACTAGTCTCGGCTACCTCTGCCGTCAAGTGGACAGAAATACCACTACAGTACATCATTACATATGATATCCCAGCTGTCCCCGGTTCCCTCAGCAAAGAATCAAGAGGCGAAATGCTGCAATCCCAACCATCGCTTCGGAACTTCTTCCAAGCTCAAAAGAGAAGCCCCTTGAAGCACACTCATGTCAGCAATGTTGCAAGTCCGGTACACCAGCATCGAAGAGCCACTGCCGTGGTGAGACGGGAAAAAATTCGCCCAACACACGGTTCACCTTGCGCATGTCTTGTGCCATCGCCACAGCGGGTGCATGAAAACTTCAGCTGTGCACGCTGCTGCTTAGGGCGGCTTTGGGTCTGGTTAGCTACAGCACCTACCGGTACAGTAAGACGTCTCCTTGAAATGGCTTCTGCAACGCCTAGCAGACCCCGCCAGCACTCTTGCAGCAAGTCCAAGCTCTCAAGCAAGCGCCGCGGCCTACTTGAAAATTCAAGCCATCGAAATGGGTCTGACATCCGGTACGTTGGCCCGGCATCGAATATGGCCGGCGCCATGTGACCAGAAGTCGACAAGCCAGATTGTCACAGTGCCTTCGACAGCCTTCTGCACCAGCGTATACATGTAAGCAGTCGACTTGCACATGCGCCTCTTACATGCAAGTGCCCAGGACCCAGGTTCCTGGAGCAGCTATCGGCATTGACGATCCAATGAAGGGGTAGATCGATTGTGCAGCATCCTTGCAGGAGTAACGCAGGTGGCAGATACTGGTGTAGTCGGTGTAGTAGCAAAGCAGACGAGCCGCAAAATATTGAGGCTGTAGTTGTGACAGCAGTACATTGCATT